ATTAAATTAAAACTACCATTGTCAATGCAATTTGTACAAACCTGTAAATGTCAAGTACTAATAGATTCAAGATTATTTTATGATTAGAAGAGATTTGAATGCCAGTTCCATGTTGTTGTAAACTTATGATTTTGTATTTAAGGATATTTTTAATATTTTAAATTCAGGAAAATGCTGATTATACCCGAGACATTCTTTTGCTCCTTTTCATAAACTGCTGACATAGTTTTTCTTTCCAATATTTTCAAATGTTAGAATTAGTAAATGGCACAACATTTGAAATTGTGGTAAACAAAAACAGTAGCAAGATAACAATAGTTTTTATAAAAATTAAAGAATATTTAAAATCAACTCATCAAAATTTCTTCTTATCCCATATTTCATTGATAATGTAGTGTTTGATAAATACTGTTAATAATAAACCTCACTCTTTGCTTATTCGACAAGTATAAGTTCAAAGGCATTAAAATTATGTGCTTTCATGTATAAACATATTCTCTGATTATTTTAAACTGGAAATTATTAGCTATGTGTTTGTAGTTCAACTGGCAAAATTCATAAGTGAGCATGAGTAAAACATAAACCAATACGACCTTCTTTTGAGAGTATATCATATTGTCATTATTCCAAGTGAGGAAGAATTTTAGCTCTTTGTAAAATTTTGGAGGTGGATAGAGGTTGTAGAAATTCAAAATAGGCAGGATTTATATGAGGGCTGTGTCCGGATACTCAATTTCTCATTCTAATTGAATATTTGTGCTGCCAGTCTTTGAACAACTATTGATAAAACCGTTTGTAGATTGTTTAAAAGGCAAACTGAAATACCTCATTAGCTACTAAAATAAGAGGAAAATTAATCCAATGGATAGTTCAAATCATATTTGGGTTTTATTTTATTTTTTGTTTATCCACCACTTTCCCAACATGCACACAGTTCAGTAAAGAGAGAGAAACTGAGAATGGGTCAAGTTTGGGTAAGGCACTCAGCTATTTCAGAGTGCTTTGTTCACATTATGGAAAATTGATTACAATGAGATATTTAGACTTAAAAGGATAAGTAGGAAGATCTCATTTTATATATGGTCATTAAAAAGAAAAAAAATTGAGCCAAGTGTATTCAAAACTTTACTAAATTTATTTAATTATTCAAGAAGAGTAAAAGAGAAAATGAAATAATAATTCTATCTTTTCTTTTTTTGAATACTAATATCTTTGGTAATATTCAAAGAAAATTGAAGGAAATTTAATCCATTTTATTTTTTTCAATGTTCATTTATTTTGAAAATGAACCTTACTATTACTCCAATCTTCATTTTTAGAATATTCCAAAATCTTATGAGTGAAAACAAATATGGAATGAAACAGGCCAGCAAAGAAAAATCAACAGAAACTTATAAACAATGCACTATTTATATATCTATGTGCACATTCCCTCAGCATATTACTATGGTTTTTGTTGCTTTCAGTAATACTTGTTCCTTTGACTTTTTCTTTCTACTACTTGTCTCACTATTTATATAAATAGATAAAATATATATATATATATCTATGGATATGTATTTAAAAGATTAAAATAACTTTTTATAACACTGAATACTAGTGAAAATTAGTTATTCATATTATATGCCAAATTAATAATAATAATATTATTATATTTAATAAGCTATCAAAGATGATGAAACACATAGACACATGTACAGAGCAGTTGCAGAGAACTCTGAATTCTTACCTATTAATGGATTGTCCCAAGTACAGGTATTTTTATATTTTATTCTTTTCAGAACATGAAGTTCTTGTTTCTTAATTCATTAATTTTTTTTTTTTTTGATTTTGGACTGAACCCAAAATATTTGGGCATCCTGTGACATCAGATAACAAGAATGATCTATCTTGAACTTCTTATGCCTGGCAGCATCAATTTTGCAAAGCCATCTGTAAATCTAGTGTTAAAAGTTATAGTTGCTATAAAGCAGGAACATGCTTCTTTACTTATTAGTGAATATTTTTAGATAAATAAATAAAAATATGCTATACACCTACTTTCCAATAGCATTTGGACTTTAGGGATGAAATATGGCAAATTATGGATGTTTTCCTTACCTTATATTTTGTTTTTATTTTATTTTTTTACAGGCTGTACATAGCATATATGTTTGGTGTGAGCAACCTCAATTTAATCCAGGTGGTGGAGATAATCAAAGAAATTGAGTAAATTGAAAAAAAATCCTAATTTCTATATTTTGTACATGAGATTTATTATAAAAACATTATGGGGTCTTGTGTTAATAAATATTCATTAACTAAACAAATTCTTACAATTGGTGCGTGTGTGTGCATATATATATAACTTTTACCTACATATAACATAACTTAAATGTATATTTTTATCTTATATATTTATATTAATAGAATGTCAATTATAAAATCCCCCAAAAGACAATAGAAAACCATATTATAAATAAAATTGGAAACTTAATGATTAAAAATTTCAATATTAATTTTAATGACAATTGAAATTTGTGTTCATATTAGTAGATAGTTTAATAAACTCTAAATTACTATATAATGCCAGTTGCTTCATAGAATCTGAAAACTTGTCATTACAGTTTAATAATTAATCATATAACCAATATAATTAAGTGTAGTACTTTGTTTACTGTCTCTCTCTCTCTTTTTTTTTTTAGATTTATAATATTGAAAGCCTTGTATTGGACAAAAGCATTGTTGAGTCTGATGCAGGAAGATTTTCCCATCCCATTAGCTATGCAATGTTGGATATAATCTTTGGATGCTGTGGCATACACACCCCAGTTTTCTTTTCCAGCAATGAGAATAATTATGACATTACAGGCCAAAGAAAAAAGAAAATATGATTCTATATTTTCTCATTTATCCAAGATCAAGGCTGTTTATTCCACTTTAGAAAGGCAATCCGAGACTAAAGAAAGCTTTATTCAAAATAGATTAAGAAAATTGAAGAGTAAGTGTAATCTGCTTAATTTTAATCCTGCCTATAGATTTATGTTTTTGCAAAACTGCTTTAATGGAAACTGGCATCGTTTGCCTTTATTTGCTAACAAGATAAAAGCAGCATAAGCAATTGAGGAACATTTTTGAAACAAAGGCAGAGACAAACACTGAATCATTTTGTTCTATCAAGAAAATTTATCAGACTAACCAAGAAAGAAAACTAAGGAGGGGGGGGCTCTTTTGTTTTCTGTGTGTAAAATCTACAATAGCCAAATGTAATAAGTAACAAATTAAATAATGACAAATAATGTTCAAGTCCTGAGTTAATGAGAATTATTATCATAAATTAAGTAGTATTCATGACTTTTATAAGAGATTTAATTCCGTCTCATAAGCATTGCAAGTGAGAAATAATCTCTCAGTGGCATTTTAGCTATCAAAATCCTAGACCTCAAAACCAAAGTAAAAAGCATTGAAGTAATCAGTTTGATATGAACTAAAAACAATTTTACTTAACAAAGGGTAAGAAATTATTTTTCAAAACACAAAATTGTTTTCTACTTAATAAAAAGATAAACATGTATAACAAGGAATGAACATTTTTTTAATAATGCAAATCTCTTGCATGCTGCTAACCCTTTCCTTCTGAGTGTATTTCTATCCAGAACTTAATGCTAAAAGAATGACAAACTATGCTCTGTACTGTCCAGAAAAGGAACTGAATAATAATGAATGGACAATAGGTTAGAGACTCTCTCCTGACTGAGATAACGGTTAACATTTGTAGAATCAACACAACATACAGCCAAATTAAAGAAATCATTCACTTTTTTTTTTTTAAATGTTTTCCAACTTTGACCTTGAAAGAGGACTGAATTAGTAGTAAACAAAATCAAAGACTGATGCTAAAATGATTCTATTTTAATAATAAGATCTCAGAGCATATGAACTTTGCATAGATCAAATATTCTACTATCAGTTATATACAGTTAATATTTTTCTTGAAAGAAAGCATCTTCAACTACATTAAATATATTAATTTAAGTAATCACTGAAGCAACAACATGAAATGCACAACATATAATGTTGGATTTTGCAAATATAATTGTGTGTATATTGCTATTAGCTTAGAACCACATAAAACTGGGAAATCTAGTATTATGTCTAAAAAGATTTTCCAGATGATTCCAGTTCTGATCACAGTCATCTAGCAAATGGGTCAATATTTTATATCAGGTTGAGGAGAAATGACAACCACTATTTACATGGATTGATAAATAAGAAGATATATTTTATAACATATTCAAAATAATAGCTGACATTAAGCATATGAGTTACAGCTTTGAAAGAAAACAAAGTAATTTTATCTTTGTATATCTAACTCCTCCTGCAAGAATGTTATAATCTTTAGATATTCTTATACTGTATCCTTTATTTTTATTTGTACTTTTACGACATAATCCTCACATTCTTTGACTTAGTTTATTTTACAGTTACTTTGTATAATCTCTATTGTTTATTTATTTTCAACTAAAACTAACCTAGTTTTTCTTTTTTGCTAAATCAAGAAGTAAGATTGGCCAATTGAACACTTTGGTTTTTTTTTTAGTCTCTTAGTTCAATATTTTCATTTATTTTATAATATTCACCATATGATCTTAACTATCTTCAGCTGAAATTTGCTGAGAAACAACCCAATTATAATTGCAAATTCAAAACTCATCATGTATTCATTAAAATTACAATACATTTGCATGACAAATTGAAATTGTTGGCTAATATTAAAGTTTGGTTGATTTTCCAACACCTTCAAACAATTAAAAATACTTTAAATATCATAGGTACTATATAAATTTAGGAATAACTTTAAAGTCATAACATTCCAAGAGTCTAAAATTTATACAAAGTAAGAACTAGTTTAAAACTGTAGAATTAAGAAGAAACACAATTCCAAATAAAAATAGACAATGAACAAAAAACAAAGACGACAAAAATGAGGTATAAAAGAAAGAATAAATAAAGAAACTTACCTTTTCAATGGGGCATCCAGAGTTGAGCAGCATCCCATGGGACTGACTGATGAGGAGTTGGAGAAGCTTGTCCTTTACATCATCAGTGGAATTCAGTTTGGGTTGGCTAGAAGAATGGAAATTCAGAAATGGCGGAAAGCGACGACTGACAGATGTGACAAGTCACACTCACCATATATTCTACACTCAACAATTGGAAAGGGGGAGAGGACATGGGAAACAGTGGTCAAAATTTTCTTTAGATAGACACAGTATTTAAAGTATAAAAAAAAAAAAGAAAGTTACTCTAAATAATGCACTAATGAAAAGGATAAATATCGAATTTTGAAATTTTAACTAATTTTCTAATGATTTTATTTATATACTCTAAAAATGTTTACTTTTTGCTGTTAAGCCTTTCTGCTCTTTGATAATTCAATTGAATTTTTTAAAATTATTTTCGTTTTTATTGCAGGAATTATGAGTTGTGAAAAAATTAGTAAAATGCTTGATATATTTTAAATAGTATAGGTCTGTACATCTCCCAAACCAAATCCAATTCAGTTATAGCTGGGCATAAAAGCTAATCAATGAACTGGACATTTATCTCTCATCCTCAGTCCAATTCCAAGTCGTTATACTGATCCTCAATAAGTCTATAAGAACTTATGGAGATCAGTTGCCAGCAGTAGTAGCAGCAGCAGTTGAAAAAACAGCTATTCAATTTCATTTAGAAAAATTGTTGATTTTTTTTTTCTTCTTTTGTTGTTGTTGTTTTCATGGGCAACAAGAAAAAATGTTTCAGAAAGGGGATGTGGATAATAAAGAGATAATTTGGTATCTTCTTAAAACATCAATAATAATATGAACTAAAGTCAGCAAAAGATTTGCAGAAACTATACATTATTATTTGAGAAGAAAAGAATGGACAAGCAATGTTTTGGATGAAAAAATATGAATAGGCATGATATCAAACAATAATTCAATTTCATCAATTCATATCAAAATAATGAATGTGTAAGAGAAAAAAAAATAACATTAAACATGCTGAATGAGCAATTTTGCAAACTGAAAATTATCCTGTTCATTTCTTTACAAAACCTATTTATTTCAGTCACTGTACCAGAGTTAAAAAAAAAAGTAAAGACTTGATATTACCTGCAATAAAAACAAAGTGCATTTCAGCTGTCTTCTCTCATTTTTATTTGAAATGATCCAGTGTCAAACCCACTAAGTTGAAATCATTTGAATCAATCTAGTTTATTGCCAATTCCAAAACTATAAAATGTGAACAATGCTGTCAAAGGATACTTTAGGTAAGACCAGCGTTGTTTGGATGACACAGATGTATTAAAGTTCATAATTTAAATAATGTACATTTTAAAAATAGATACAGAAAAGCCAGACAAAGGAATTAGTGCTTCTCTAATTTCAAGGAATGAGAAATATTTAACATACTCTAAGCAACAAGTAAATTTATTTTCAGAAAGCATATGTAAATTGCAAAAAACAAGCCGCAAAAGGTATTCAAGATTTGAAAAATAAACTAGAACTGTTGGAATAAACAGCATGTATCAAAATTGCTTAGATTAAGATGAAAAAGTAACAAATTTTATAATTTCTATATGTACTCTCAAAAAACATTATCAAGTTTTAAATCATCATCATGAAAATTAAGAATACAAAACAAGAATAAACAAGGAAAATGTTGTTCTTCCAAATGGGTAACAATTAGAAACCCTTTTTGATCATTTATAAAATAGAAACTGTACTAAAAATCTATTTTAATATATTTAAACAACATTCCTTCCTTCATAAAACTATATTTGATGGCATTAAAAACACCAAAACAAAACAGTAGATGTACATAACATATGATAATAGTGGTTTTATGAGGTAATAACATTAAATAGACTACAGAAAAGTAGAGAAATGTAAGCATTTCAAAAGAACAAATGTTGCTGTCAAAGACTAAAAACAAAAATTGTGGTGGAATGTGCTAAATTATAAACAAACACTGAAAAGAATTTTCTAATAAAAAATAAATGTTTTAGACTGATCATATGAATAGTTATCTTCCCATAAGAAATGTCTTAAAACTGTATTATCAAAGTAATATTAGAATAAAATGATATCAACAATTACAGATCAGGGATAATTAAATAGCTGCCAAGATCTAGAGGAGATCTATTTTCTTTCTGAAAAAACAGTTTTCTAATATTTTTGCCTACTTTTAGACAAACACTAGTTTTAAACTTACAAACTCAAAATGTAGAAAAGGACTTTGAAAAATCTGACAATAATAATGAGTTAATGAAATGATAAAAAGTTTTCCCCTAATTGAAAATAAGCTTCTCAAAGCAGAAGTTTTCTAATTTGTTAAATATATCCAATAATAAAACTGGAGTCAGGGTTAGAAAGGAATAAAAGAATGAGGCCCATAATACAGAAAACAATGTTGGTGGCAAGGTGTGAAATGATAGCCACTGAAGAAAAGAGTGAAAGAGCTGAATTCACTAGTGCATTAGGAGGACAGCATTCAATTAATATGAAAGTGTTTTGATGGGGGAGTATTTTTATTTAATTGCCAGCCCTGCTGTGGGTGAGGGACTAGCAAATAAACCAGGCTGCAGTGGAGTCTCTGATGAAAGCAAACGGTGAAACAATGCATAGCAGAAAAATGAAAAGAAAAAGTACTGGTGCTCACCAATGTTCAGACTTAGAAAAGAGAGGAAGGAAGGATGTACATGAGGTGCAGATACAGAGAGCAAGCTTAAAATTATAATTTGTGTGTGTGTGTGTACACACACACACACACTTTAAGAAAACAAAAATTGTTAAAAAAATATTAATCAAAAATAATGCCATTAATGGGAAGAGACAGAAAAAGCTTACATTGAATGTACACTATTCTAATGAGAACAATCTAAATTAATTTTCAAAGTTGCTAATATCTCAATAAAATGTGAGGAATCATTAACAATTAAAAATCAAAAATCATCTGAGAGGAGAGAGAAAAATAAAAGAAAATAATACATCTTCAAAAAATCTAACCTAATAAAACAATATAAATAATAATGATGATGACAACAACAACAACATCTCTAGCAATCAAGAGGGATTTGAATAACCAAGTGAAGTTTTTACTCTTGCTTGCATATCTACCATTTCAGCAATAAGTGCTGAAATTGGACACCCTCCCTCCCCAAGGAAAAGGAAAAATACCTTTTCAAATTTCTTCTTATAATTCATGTATTATAAAGTATTTAACACAATGAAAGCAAATAGTATTTGGGATTTAAACAGTCACTAAGGACATCATGAACTATACTCTGCACACTTTTACCAAGTATATAAAAATGCAGGTGTTTTTAAGAAGTTAATTGAGAGCCGCTTAGAAAGAATTAAAAAAATATAAACAAATAAATAAAATGCTTTCATAAATGCAAACTATGTACATTCATTTTGACATTTTTCAGCACTTTTCCAGAAAAATAAATGGTTAAAGTAGATATAGGGAAAATCTGGAGGATGTTTATGATGCCAGACTGAAAAGAAGTTAAGAATTAAGAAAGTAGATGTTTTTTTGAAACTAAAGATATGACAAATGGTAGCAAATACAAGATGAGTAGTAAGGAAATAACATTTAACCATTTCATTTGCCAATGCTAATATGATGGCATCATTTTAGACCAAATTCATCAACTATATTAAGATGTTATTATCATCGAACACAGCAGTATTTACATTTCTAATGACATGATGACTCTTTATTACAAGGCATTTGGTAAAGAGAACACTGTAGAGGGAAGTAAAACCAAATTATAAAAGCTATTAGTAAAGGTATAATAATCTGGCTTTATCACAGTAGAAATATTAACTGTGGGCAGAGAAAATGCTACAATCCATTTCAATTTTCTCTTCTATATTTACAGTAGTTAACACATTTCATTAACCAAAGACTAAAGAATGAATACTAGATATAAAGAAATGTGTGAAAAGTGAAATAAAAACCTTAGTTGAGTAGCCAGGTGATAAACAATTTAATTATCCTTCCAAGTGTTATTCAAGTAAAGCATGCATAATATCACTTGAATAGTGTAAGTTGTACAAATACTAGACTAATTCCTATAGAAAAGCAATCTCATTAACCCAGTACTAACTTTCCCAAAAGCAACAGAATATGGCATGCAGAGTAGGCTGTTGATTAAAAAAAAAAGTTAAATAGAAAATACACACACATATATTTACACTGTTTGGACTGTTATCCTCAACTTTGTTGTCATATTCACAATGTTGTAAGGTGATTGAAATTTTGAACTGATCTCTTTATTTTGTCCAGCAGGTAGATTGTTCTAGTTCCACATGCCTTGACTCTTCTGAATATCTCAAAGTTTTTGTTCACTGCAGTAGCCAGGGTATTGAACTCACAACTCTTTCAGTCAAGTCACTGGATCCAACCAATATTTTTATACACTGGGCCATATGTCCTTGAATGTCTATGAATTTTGGGGGCTTATAAACTTAATGTCTCAGTAATCATTAATTTTTTTTTTTTACCCAAGCTCATATTGCAATTTTTGTTGTTATTGCTTTTCTCTAGCACTCTGTATTACTGGTTCTCATATTGTATTCATTTCTATGTTTGGACAGCTTAAGCGAATTTTGTGGCCTAGCACATGTGCTGATTCCTTAAGTTTTCATATTTTCCAGTGATGTTCTCTGTCTGTTGTGGTGATCTCCCTTTTCCCTCCATATGTAGTCAGCTATGCCTGATTTTTCTATTTCCCTCCATGTTACAAATTTACAATGTTCTTGCAGTCTTATCTTAAGGAGGTGGCCTGTTTCTTCTTTATATTTCTTACCACAGCTGCATGGGATGGCATACACACAGTCCTTAGTCATGTTCTCCTCTATTGTGGTGGGGGAGGAGTCTTACTTGGATGAGGTGTCTGCAAAGTGTTGAACCACTTTTGAAGGTCATCCTGATGTTATATGGACAACAGAACTCTTGTATTTTTTTCAATAATCCCTTCACATAGTTATCTCCTTTTAATTCATGTCTGAGACATCTAGAAGAGGCATGACATGTGGAAATGGAACAATCTACCCCAGTGGATGAAATAA